TTGTTAGAATAACTCAGTCTTTGTATATGTTTTTATTTTTTTAGGTAAGATGTCTGGTTTGTTAGAATAACTCAGTATTTGTATATGTTTTTATTTTTTAGGTAAGATGTCTGGTTTGTTAGAATAACTCAGTATTTGTATTTGTTTTTATTTTTTAGGTAAGATGTCTGGTTTGTTCAAATAGCTCAGTCTATGTATATTGTTCATGAGATTGCTTTGTTCAGAACACTTTAATCTTTTTCTTATATCCCTGCATTGTTCAACCTTTATGTATTGTGTTCTTCTGGTTTGTTTAGTTTTAGCATATAGTATCCAATAGATAAAATTGGTGTTACAGCTAGATATTTTGGGTTATTCAGAATAGTTAATTGTATTTTCTGCTCTTAAGAGGTGTTTTAATTTTTGTATATTGTATTCCTCTGATAGAATTAAAAAAAAATCATTTTTTTAAAAATAATAAACAACTGCCAGCCAAATAGCAGATGTTTACAACCAAAGATAACTTTAGTAAAGTTTGGAACATTAGAATATAGGAAAAATGTATTTTCCACATAAAAAGCATTAGGAGTAAAAACAAATTTTATACATTTTAACTATGGATGAAATTAATAAAGAATTTTGTGACTACTTATAACTTTTGATACAAATTTTAATACATGTCATGTGGCGGATTAGCTAACATTTTTTTAATGGGGGTAGGATAATCAAAAATCAATCTTGGAATTGTATTATGGAAATTATACTAAATGAGGATATTAATGATAAGGATTTCACAGCCTTTTTTAGAGCAAAATGTTAAGTATATATGAAGATATGGCTACATAAAGATCAACGTATCAACGAATATTAGCTATTTATTACTAATGTTAGATAACTAGCACTGCAATTATAAACAGCCTCATTCAGAATGCACTTACAAGATACTATATCATCGGGTAATCTATTGGGTTTTGATATCAATTTTACAGAAATTGAAAACTTCATTTTGTAGTGAAGCACATAATGGAGTTAATAACACCCTTCTCTGGATAAAATACAGTGGAAGTTTGATTGTACTTCAGTTATATTTTTCTTTTAACTTGTTACTGGATATAATTTATTTGGTTTCTTTTCTGTCTTTTACAATTTGTTTTCCAGTATTAAGCAATAATTGATCTACATCATTGGGTAAGATAGAATATATTTTCTTTAGTACTGAAATGCTGAAGGTAAATGTACAAATTACTCTATCACTTTCACAGAATTTTCAACTTTGTAGATTTCTAGTGCCTATTCTGAGAACATCTGATATCATATACACTTCTGCATTCCTTCATGATTTATTAACTTTCTTTGTCATCATCATTTCCATCACTATCTTCATTTTAGACCAAAATGTTATTATCAATGAAATCCTCATTATTTTCATCCAGTACAACTTCATCAATGATAATCACAATATTCTCATTGTACTTTGGCTGTGGTTGTTTTCTTCTACCATTTGTACTTGCCAATGCACTGTTGTCTCTTTCCCACATTTTGCTGACATCAACTTAGCAGATGTTGATAATCAATCATAACCACAAAAAAAGGAATGCTAAGCATTTGGAACATTAAGACTTTTACATTTGCATCATCCATTTTGAACTAATTTGCAATTTCTATAACAATCATTAAAGTAGTTGCCAGTAATTTTGATCCATCAATTTGGAATGACCAATATTCCACTGAAGCTAAAAATAGGCTAAATTTTGAACTAAATTGCAATTTCTATAACAATCATCAAAGCAGTTGCCAGCAATTTTGATCCATTGATTTGTAATGACCAGTATTACACTGAAGCTAATAATAGGCTAAATTTTGAACTAAATTGCAATTTATATAACAATCATCAAAGCAGTTGCCAGCAATTTTGATCCATTGATTTGTAATGACCAGTATTCCACTGAAGCTAATAATAGGCTAAATTATAGTTGCTTTGGCCAATGATATTGCTCAAAAAAGGAAACAAAAAAAACCTATCTGCATTTGATAATTATTTTCTAATCAACACGAGTTTACCCAATTTGCAGATCCAGGTGGTGTTAAACTGCTATTATAAACCTTTAAAGAACATTAATGGGAATATTCCCAGAATTTTTGTAGCTGCCATCATTGTTATCTTGTGGTGTTCATTGAATTTTGTAAAAGTATATTGGCACTTTTTTTTTTTTGTAAGCTGTAAAAGTATTTTATTTCATATGTATTTAGTGTAGAATATTGATAATATTGTAGTTAATCATAACTAAATTGGAGGTTTATGACATAAACTACAAGTTATAGAAATATAATTGTTCCTGGTTGATTTTTTTCTTGTGCAAAGCATTTCAAAATAAACCTCTAATTCTTAACTGTTACCTAATTGGGATCAAAATAACAGATTTACAGACAGCTCTTGTGAATGAGGTACAGAACTGATGAAAAAATGCATTTTAATCTTTATAAATAATAATATAAGAACAGTATTTCATTAGTTGTAATCATTACTGGATTGATATTTAGTTCTGCTCAATGGAGGTAGTTTTCTTTGATCAAAGGCTAATAACATAAAACATTTTGGGAACAATCACAGACACAGCCTGCACCTCAAAAAACAATGCCTGAGCCTCCAAAAGAGAAAGGTCCCATTCCTCCAGAGCATCAAGTGTTGCAGGATATATTTGAAGATCTTAGAAACCAGTGTCAGCAAGTGGCTACTAACCCTGTAAGTTTGAAGTTTTTAGAGTATTATAACCTTTTCATATGATCTTATACGTACGATTCCTGTGAAAAAAACTTAACCTTAAAATGTGGTGCTTCTGTCAGTGTGTATGTATGTAATCTACAGTTTCCTCAACACTGTTTATAAAGGTACTTTTAATATATATCTGTGCACTAGTGACACACTAGGAGTGATAAGAAATCGTTCACTAATTTTAAAGAAGAGTGTTGGAAACTTGTTGTAATAAAGCCATGTATTACATGAGCTACATACAGTAAAACTGATTCTGAAATTTAGGTAGATGTTTTATACTACAGGAAGGCTAGTAAAATATTGATGTTGGTTATGCAAAGTCAGCATGCTTATATGTATCTCTAAGCAGGGTTTGCAGCTCTTCAAACCTATAATTTTTTGTGCTTTCTGCTGGAATTATTTTCAAGATTTCCTAATCATTATCACCATAACTTATATAATTTCAGTTTTCTTAATTTTTGTGGAAAATCACATGGTTTGGATTAGTTTCCAGCCAAAGAGGCATAAATGTTATCAGACACTGTTGCCGTCCGATGGGTAAATTGGGTTTTTTGGCTGTGCACTGGTAGTATCCGCTTGGGTTTAAGGAATTAATTTTAAAGGAAATGTTGAAGTCTATTTCATTCTCCTGAATCTAATAATTTTCTTTTAAGTCGTGAGTTTTTAAAAAGAATTAGTAAGATTTCATTTTAATCTGTGTTGTTATTATATTACATATAGCTACAACGTTTAATTCAAAGAAAACGGCAGTTAAATGTTTTGATAGCATATTGTGTGTTTCTTTATTTTAACTGCTATAAAACCTTTTTTTTCTTTTGATATAATAAAAGTATTTTTGGTAAAGATACTCAATGTTTAAAAGTAAAGCATGAACATATTCTTGAAGTCAGCATGAAAATCACTGAGGTTCTAAATAAGTTTCCAGTTTTCTTCTTGTTTCACAGCTGTCAGTAGGTTATTCAGAGAAAATATATTTTCTGGAAGTGATGCAGGTGTTTATTTGAAGTGCTGCTTGTCACTTTTCATTGTAATTTCTCAAGGAGTATACTTAAATACAGGTTCATTGCTGCGGTGTTTGTATACATTATAATTTGAAAAACCTATCTGCAAACTCCTTTTTTTCCCCCCCTTTCTTTTTCAGTTATCAGTAGAGATATTTATGTGTTGAAATTATGTTTTTACAGCAAACAAGGAGAAAGCTTGATGATGTTGCGAGGAAACTGGAAATTCTTTATGATGTGCTACGACAGAATGCTGTAAGTATCTACAAAGCCAATTTCACTAATTGTTATTTTGAGCTTGGATGAGGTTTTTTTCTTACTTTGCTATTGTACAATAAAATGTATATGGTCTGAATGAAAAAAAGTACTTAATATGATTTAAAATAAAATAATTAAAAATTTAATCTTTGATCAGTAAACTGTTAAAAAAATCGTTCACTGATTCATGTTAGAATGTATTACTTCCCCATTATGATATGTTTGAAAAAGTTTAGACAATGTATGTAAGCATCAGTTTGCTTATGAGTAATGATAAAAACTGTCATGTAATTTGCGAACAGGTCTGTGTATTAAACAATGTTCTTTGTTTTACTGTTTTAATGATATTAGAAATGATTACCTAGAAGTGCTGTCTTGATCACTAGCACTACTGATGTTAATGATCTAGCATCTCCTCATTGGTTCATCGCATTCCATTGTGTTGTATTTAATTCTTGGGATACTTTGTATTCTTAATATCAACTAGAAATAATTATATATTTTATGAACATTTTGAACATATTGAAACATGTTTTATTTTATGAATCAGAATCATGGTTATGTAAACAAATATAAAGAATATCCAGATGAAGAAAAAGTTTTGTTCACTCTGTGGATGTGTGATGGATTATTAGGTCTAAATGCTTGTAAATATAAACATCTTTACTTTCTCAAAGCAATAGTTACAGTATGATATCAGAGATCAGGTTGTAATTTTGGCCAGAGTGAGTTTGAAACAAATTTATTGGTAGAACATTTTTTTTTATTTAATAAAATCTTTAAATAAACTTTGTAATAATATGTATATTAGAATAATGAAAGTTTACCTAGGAGAGAATTAACCATGTGTGTATACATTATTTTATAGTATTTTATTTTTTCAGTATGAAATTGTTAACTAGTTTTCCAAATAAATAATATTAATTAATTGATTAGTGCAAGAAATTTTCAAAACTTAAATGTATGGTTAGTGAGAGCTTAAATTCCAGAGTCTAGAAATTCCTTCATAAGCTATGCTATGGTGTCAAAATCACTTATTTGAACTACTTTACTTTTTTTATTAGTGGCAAAACCTGTAACGTTTTTGAAAAGTAAAGAAAAAAAAAGATATTTTACTTGTAACTAGTGTGGCTTATCATTTTTTTTTTTTCATTTGAGTTCACAAAGCACTAGCCTTAAAAACATTTTATTTCAATTATAGTTGTCAAGTGGAACTATATTAGGTCTGCACCAGATTGTACAGGTTATACAACAAGGTGACTATCAGACTGCTCTAGGAGTCCATAGCCAACTTGTGTCTAGCACTAACTTTTCTGAAACAAGCTGTTTTCTACCTGGACTAAAAGTTCTACTTCAAGTAGCCCAGCAATTAAGTGTTTACCTACAGTGAAATCAGAGAACTTTATGATGATACACTAATTAACTTTTAATGTGCTTTGTGCTACAAGAATTTATAGATTGTTATGGATATTGCTTCCTCATCTTTGGTGCAATGGTACTCTTCTTCAGATGGTTAAAATACTTGACTCTTCTTTTTTTTTTATCAGACACAAGAAATGCTCATTAAAATATGAATATATGTGGTCAGAAGTTTGAATAGTCATTATTTTAAAGTATTTATCACCGAACCTTTATCTTTTACGGTTTTTTTCTAATGTTCACTTTTTAGCAATACAAATGTGTACGAAGGAAAATTATCTTAACTCTGATGCTTGGCATCAAATAAAATTGTATTGTAAATCAACTTAAAAAAGAAGCTGAAAATATTGCTATATTGTTGTTACTTCTGCAAGAAAGGATTTTTAAAATTCACTTAAGCTTTTTCAGTAGTAGTGTCAGAGTTTGGTTATGTACGATATTTGTGAAAACTATTGTATGATGAGAGGAATTATTAATCTTATATTTTCTTTATTGCATGAAATAAATTTCAATAACTACACTTTTTTTTTTGTTTAGTTTCAGTTGCTACAATATAAATAAAAATATTCTATTTGATATTGAGGTATTATAGCAAAATTAGAAAAACTGAAATGAGATATGGTGTGGGTATTGATGTATGCTTCCAATGTGGGCAAGAAATATATGTTATTACATTAAATTTTTTTCACAATACATCAACCATCTTTAGCTGGTTTAGTAGAGTAATTGTAACCAAAAGATATGGATTATAATAAAAACTTGAAAGAAAAACATCAGTCTAATGTTTAATTATACAAGTTTGTTTTTAAGTTGAATTTCAATGAAATAAAATATGGACAAGAAAATAAAATAAAAGTGATTTTATGGATTTTTGCTGCATGTTACCTAGATAGGTTTTAAGAACAGTTTTCTTATCTATATTGGTTTCTAGGAAATCCCATAATTTAACAGTGAAAGAGTATGGGTTCAAAATAAAAGGATTAAATAAGAAATGCTGGTTTTTCAATTATTATTTTAATACAAAAAATTAATTTTTTTTATTGCTTGTAATAATTGTAATTAATTGTCTTTTCATAATTTTAGCATCTGGCTAGCTGCAGTTACAAAGTCTAGTTTCACAGTCTCTAAGTTTTTTGTGCATTTAACTTTTTTTTTTATGTTGAGAAGCTAAAAATTCATTCCCATTTCTTTCATGATTAAATAACAAGAGGGAATCCTCAATAGCTGCAGCTGTAGTTAGATCTCAAATTGGTCAAGAGGTAGAGCTACGAGTTAAAAGTTTGTACTTGAAAGAAAACTCAGAGCCCTTCTATTAGCCGATACATCATTGCTAAAAGCAACGTACTGAAATGCACCAATAATGTAAGATTTTAATGATCAACTAGAAAAGCTGACAGGTGTAACAATTCAATGGATAGGTAACCAGTAGATTATAGATTATCAAGGTAAATTTAAATTTTGTGAACTTCAATATGAAATAGATTGGACGAGGAATATTATTTTTTACTGTTAAACATTTTTGCACAAGTTCAAAAATGTTAAACAGTACAATTGGGGTTTAAATTTTACTAAATATTTCTTCTATAACGATTTTACCCTAAATAAACAATTATTTGTTAAGAAAGTTTCCGTAATGCTTACTGACATTGTCATAGATTATGAAAGGAAATATATTCTGAAGAAATAAACTATTTCTGAAATCATGAGTTCTAAGAGTAATAGCTTTTAGTAATATGTTTTCATTTTCTGATTTAGTATAGCAATAGTTTGTGACAATTGTTACACTCCAATTTAATTTGTCTATGTACAAGGTTGTCTCTAGGAAAGAAAGTGAAAGTAGCTAGGTCAGTCCTTGTAATAATATCTAATAGGGGCTATTCACAATTTTCACAAGCCTACAAAACATACTTTTATTTTTCCACCTCTAGCCTCTTCTGAGAGCATACGCATGTTTTTAGTCATTATAAAGAGGGTACTGTGAAACAAACATTTTTGTGAAAAGCGTACACGATATCTCAAACCCATTCACCCCATAATACATTTTTTATACAGGTGAAACTCTCCCCTACTTTGAGTAATTATGGAACTTTTTTTGCTAGTTAGTATTGTAAATGATGAATCATCTGTTTTTCTGACATTTATGCTAAAGTAATCTAGCCCTCTTAGCTGTAGTTCATACTGTAATACGTACGCAGGTTGTCCTGTTAAAATTTTAATGTTATAATTGCATCTTGGAGGTGCACAAGCAAACGGGATCAATTTCTAAAACACAATATTGTTAATCTTATAAATAGTATGGTATTTCAATAGGCATAGTGATCAAATACCTTGTGAAAGAGTGGGTATGTTTATATATTCTTATAAATGTTGCTGTCACTTTTATTTTATTGTTAAAAATCCATTTTCGATTCCTTCTCTTTTCATAAGTATATCTTGGATTCGTTCCTGCTTATTTTTTTGTATTCAGTCATGTAAACTGAAAACCTTTGATTGTGAAGAAAGTAGTATAAATGCGAACAATGATTATAAGAGATGAAAGTTCATAGATTTTGTGTTAGATAAACATGAAATACTTTACCATGATATAATATGTATGTATACACTTCAATTACAACCTGTCTCAAAAAGTAACATAAAAACAATTAATTTTAATCTGGCATTGTTCAACACTATTATACCATTATTTTGAATACATAGTAAACTGTGGGGGCGTTATAATGTAATGGTCAATCCCACTATTCGTT